AAGTTGAAATATGTCTATTTAGTCAATCGATGACTATGCAAATAATTAGACTTGAACTCTAAATTGCAGCGAATTCGATAAAATTTGATCAAAAAGTATCAGTGCGTCAAACTAGTGCAATTGGAGATATCAATCAAAATTAATTATAATTACTATTTTTAAATACCAGTACAGTGAACGGCCGGTGCATAATCCTGTTCCTTTAAATCACTCTCTACATATTTTCTATTTCAAATCTAATCATTTGTGTCATAACGCAGTGAATCCATCAAACTGTACTTTTAGTTTGTCACAGGATAGTATTTCCCTCTCAAAACATTTTTATATAGCTTAATTTCGTTTTATCCGCGAACGAATCACGATTACACGGTTGCACAACCCACTTTTACTAGCATATCAGGTATTATATCATTCGCATTGGACGTGCATGCACGCATAACGAGGCGCCCCTAACGCGCTCGTAGAATTATGGTCACGGAAACGGAACCAAAGGAAACTTTTATCCGTAGAAGAGAGTGCGTTCTCTCCAATAGCGTATGCTTTCTGTTGCTTTTATTAATCCAGATTTGGTGAGTTGGGCAAAAAGTTTTGTCCTTTTTCAGAGATACAAAGAATAGCTCGACTTCAAATCTTACATGTGAAAGTGAAATCACAGATTGCTTGTAATTAAATCTTATATGAAAGTAAAATCTTGTTATATGAAGCAGTGCTTTTTCAGTGTACAAGAATCGAGATGTTCAATAATTACGTTTCTTCTAAGAATATTTGCAACAGAAAATTTCATAAATCGATACTTACAACCGTACTGTATATTATACCTGTCTTCTTCGAGACTAAATGACGTTCTTACCTCTATGACAATAATGTAATATAATACTGCAGATATATAATGTTCTATATCGAACCATTTATCGGAGGACCAGCTTTATTGTCTGCTGTTTGTTAAGATGTACTATAATGTAAGCTACAAGGTCATTAAGGGCAAAATGTGTTGACGATCAATCGAATTAATGTCATCTACTGACAAAAAAAACATTGTTTAACAAAATTAATGGACGAGATACTCTGCATGGACTTTCACCGCGTTTCCTTCGAATAAATTATTATTACTGAGAATAAAATTTCTTCTATACAAGCAACAATCTACCGTAGATTGAAACAATAAGAAAATGATAAAAAGTAACAATTCAAAGTGTAGAGACATACGTGAAGCTGAAGAGAACTGCTTTTAGATTAATCAGTTGATTCAAATTTTAATACTATTTAGCTATTAATACTAAAAAATAATTTAAAAGGAAAGAAAAGATATTTTGTTCCTGTTTCAATGGATCAGGAAACTGTTTAGAATTTTTGGAGCTATTGGGTTATTCACATAATTGCTCCAAATTTTGTTCCATTGCATATCTAGTACAAAGCTACATAAATTAAGAAAAGTAATTTAAAATATAAAAAGACTATTTATGTTTCAATGTGAAACAATTTTAGAGCTGATAGATAATAAAACCTTACACAAAGTTCCTCCAAATTTTGTTCCATTGCATATCTAGTACAAAGCTACATAAATTAAGAAAAGTAATTTAAAATATAAAAAGACTATTTATGTTTCAATGTGAAACAATTTTAGAGCTGATAGATAATAAAACCTTGCACAAAGTTCCTCCCAATTTTGGTCAATTTCATATCTAGTACAAAGCTACATAAATTAAGAAAAATAATTTAAAACGTAGAGAAAGATTTATTCACATTTCAATATAAAATAAAACAGTTTAAAGCTGTTATAAAAGCCTCTACATAATAAATATTATTAAGTTACCCAATCAGTACAATTATACTCGAAGAAAACAATTAAAAATGTAGAAAAAATCTCGTATGAAAGCAGTTTACTCGTAGTATGTTTCGAGGCTGCGATAAATCGAATCGATATTACGGCACGACAAATGTTTCGCCATACAGCGGGGCCACGTGTATTACACACAGGCAACTGAATTAATTATCATCGACACCGAAACAACACTTTCCGGCCAAGTTAAATACGCGTTAACGTCGAATTTTCATTTCCCGCCTTGTTGACACCGATATAGCCGAATTTCAGGGACGATCGCAAAGCTGCGCCACGTGCGATAATCAAGGCCACGTCCGGCTTAGCGAAGAAAAACACAAAGCATAATAATTCGACGAGACTAGCTTGTCTAACGAGAAAAGAGTAACGTTGCCATGTTCGTGTTACGACGCGACTCGAATCATTTACAAAATTTTGCTGAAAAGTTCTTGCCGAAAAATGTATATCGATTTTAATCATTTTTTATTCTTTGGATGATCTATATTGCAGGAACAATATTTAGGTTATTGTCGAATCTTCCAAGTTAAATTTACTACTTGGAATTTTGCAAAATTTAGAATTTTAGATTTGAAAATTGAAGTGGATTATAATAGATACTCTAATGGGACCAATTTGCTATACTTGCAAAAGATTGCAATTACCAATACCTACTTGTTTGGTCAGTTTTCCTCTTTCATATAAAAATTCCAAATGAAAATTTTTGCAAAAAATACTAGATGTTAAAAACTTTGCTTACTTGCGAAATCTTGATTTTAACAAGAAAATCTTATGAAGCGTCCATCTTCCATTAAAAATATCTCAATGCACGGCAGTTATAAACTTCGACCCATAATGTGAAAAATGACGAAAAATATATATGAATTAATTTCGTGACAACAAATGTAAAGATCGTTGAAAACGACGAAATATACAAAAAATTCAAATTTTCTGTGAAAATAAAATAGATAACATATATTTATCGTTCGAGGTTGCGTCGTAAAAAAAAAACAAGTAAACTTGTCTCTCCTAACGGTATGGACGACTTTACTACATATTCAGAGATTTCACCAAGTGAATCAGCTATTACGAAAGCTCGAACTTTGATAAGAGAATTAATACGAAACACAGTTACAAATTTCCCTTTTAAAACAGTAGTTTCTTCAACGGAGACTGACAGATTACGGACAGTTTAAATTGACCGAAAATAGAAATCCTATACTTAATTCCTTCGTGGAACAATTCGTATTGATGGAAGATTTTAAAATATTGAAATTTTCAAATTGGTAAGTTTGTGAACTGGTAATCTTGCAAGTGTACACATTTCAATTTAAAGATTCATTTGGTATTCAATCTAGAAGTTTATGAATTTGGTAATTTCTTCAAATTAATTAATTTAGCAAATTCTTCAATTTAGTAATTTACGAATGTGGCAAATTTTTCTCAATTTAGTAATTTATAAATTTAGCAAATTCTTCAACTTAATTTGAAAAAAAAAATGTCAGAATTTGGCAACTTTAGAAATATTTCAGTTCACACATCTGATCTCCCAAAATCATTGTTTTTCTCCCAAAAAAAAATTAACATTGAAGGTCGATTGATAGTAGCGTAATAAAAGTCTGAACCGAGGGGTTAAAATGAAATTACGGAAGAGATAACTAACGTGTAATCGTTTCATACCTGTCACGCACGCGCGCAAAAGTATACCGGAAGTCAATGTCCTAAGTTCAGTTAGTCGGTTGGATTACGATGCACAGAGTACCATGAGAGAATTATTAACCGCTAAGATTTTTTTAGATCTTATTTGGACTCGAATCACACGGATACGAAAAAGTCAACGGTTACGTAATTTAATTGGCAAACCATTAAACACACGATTCTAAAATTTTATGTAACGACGAGAGGGAACTGAATAGACGAAAATCAACTCGCGCCAGACAATAATTCGTCTCGAGCCACGTTACCGATATGAAACCGTTAATATTTCGTCGTATTTCAAAAGTCACTTTCGTCTATTCGCGTGTGTGTGTGTGTATACGTCATTGTACGTGTTCTATTGACACCAAGGACCGTTAGACAATGTCTGATATTCGTTCATGTTTGTTATTATCAATCTGTTCGAGCAAACGGGTTTGTAAGAAGTTTGTGAGTTTCGATTATTCAGGAATATCAACACGTATTTATGGGCAGACGAGTGCCCGTCAAAAACCTTACTCTGTGCACGGCGTGTGTTGTGACTTACAATTTTGAAATTCAGAATTTTCGCAAGTTCAAAATTTGGAATTTTAGGGACTTGGAAATTTTTCAGACCTTGGCAAATTTTAGATCTATGAATTCAGAAATGTTAGATATTTAAGAATTTCAATATTAGAAAATGCAAAATTTTCAATTTGTAAATTTGACAGGTTATTTTATATTTTTAACTGTTGTTCCAAATTTTGATGTGACAGTAGAAAATTTTGTTACCAAGAAAATTATATTACCTGTAAAATATTATTCCATTCTGTTTATATATGGGACTCATAACAAATAATCTGTTAAGAAATTAAACGCTAAATTTTCATTTCTGATCGATTCGACTTAAATAGCATATGAATGTTAAAAACGATAACTGCGTTTATGCACTTTAAAATAAACCCAAAATTATCAATTTCAGATGCACGTGATCAGTAAGCGGAAAACAAGTTTTTAAGAATTTTTAAAATTGTCGTAGCAATTTTCTAGGTTATGTACTTTTATTTTAAATGCCTCGAGATGTTCGAAAAATTTTGTCATGTAATGCAAAAAATAATGTAACGTATAGACGACGCATAAAACACGACAACCAATCATAAAGATATATCCACATAATGTTATCAGAATGGTTAATAAGTACCATACTACATAGAGACAACTATTCACTTACGTGGAACAACGTAAGTTCACTTTATTTTTACATGCTCGTGTATAGTAATTGACACCATATTCGAACGAAATAAAATACTTTTCGGTAAAATAAATAGGTCGTAATAAGTAAGAGACACGGTAGAAATGAAAAAACTTAGGAACGTTCGATTGACAAGAAAAGGCGCGAAAACCGTCGAGGCGCGCGTGATCGGCGAGCGGTGTCCGCGAATTTCTAACCTCAAAACCGGAAACGCGATTACAAATGGAGAATCGACGAATAGAAAATGGCCTAATTTACCTCGCAGCATCGCCGTTTTTCTCCTCGATGTCTAGCCGCTCCATTTCCTTCGATAACATGCCACCTTCCGCAAACTTATCCAGGGACATGATGATGTTTTGTTTTTTCTTCGTTCGTTGAAAATTTCACACAAAAAAAGAACCGATGGACTATTTACAACAATACTCGACGTCGTTCCAGCACTGTTCAATATAATATATATTATACTATATATATAATATATTCTTCTTATTATTTATTTTTTTCTTCTAAATATCTTTAAACGCAGCTTTATTCACCGTTAGCTGCCGCTAATCGACTGAGGTAGACAAACACTGGCACTAAACACTGGCTGATTTCTTGTTCGCGCGACCGAACGAACACGAATGAAAGAGAGGAGAGTAAGAAAAAGATGAAAATAGGACACAACGACGTCGTATACGCGATGAAGACACGAACACGAACGACGTACCAGACGAAAACTCTTTCGGGCTGTCCGTACAGTAGCGTCCTCTCTCGTTTCCTTAATTTCGTACTCCTTCGCGCGTGTTCCTCCTCCTCCGTGTCGCTCTCGTGTAAATCGCACGCGCTTCGTCACTTTCGTCGTACACGCTCGTTAACTCGGCCCTCTCGTTTCGATTCTCTTTTTCACGATGACACACGGTATCACGCGTGACACACCGGATTAGGCGAACAGATCACACCGGCACCGTTTCTCCAACTTCCTACGGGATAGAGTCTCGTTCTCTCGACGAGCGTCGAAGGGAAGCTCGCGCGGGTGGAGCAGTTTCGTGCTTTCCTCCTTGCCTCTGCTCCTCGGCTTTCTACTACCGTGCCTTCCCTTACCCGTGTCCCTCCGATTTCTCCTTCTTTCTCGCACGGCTGCCTTCTATCGCTCTTTCTCTTCTAGCCGACCAAGAAATCCCTCCACGTATCGAAGACGCGCGAGCACTTTTACCAACTAAACGGAGGAGACAGCCGAGAGCTCGTACGTGATTGGTTGCACGGGACGATTCTGGGACCGTGCGTTATCCGGTTCCCGCTACCGCTCTCTCACTCCTCTATTTCTCTCTCTTTGTCGCTCTCGAGGAACGATGACGAACACCGTTTCGCGCGATGACACAACGGGTTAGAAAAGCCGGTACAGAAAAAAGAGGAAAGATACGTTCCACGGGAATTACGTTGGTCCTCTGGTTGTTCGCGCGTGAGATGCTTTCACGTTTCGGCTAGCCACGTGGATTAAATTCGACACGAGATATTGGTGCGCGTGGTATCGCTTGGCCGAATAACGAAGTGACACGACACCCGGCTTCCGTTCCGCGTTTATACTACGCTCGTAAATGACACTGGCCTTTCTTCGGACGTATACGTGGGTGCGCCCTCTCTCTGTTCTCCGCTACTATTTTTTTCTTCCTCTCTCGCTCCGATCACCTCTTCCTCTTTCTCTCTCTCTCTCTTTCCCTCTTGTTCTCCCTCTGTCTCTTCCGTCTTCGTTCTTTTTTTTCCTCGTGCCGTACCCCTTTCACCGTCTCAGACCGGGCCGCCTTCGATCACCGCTGCTTGCGATCACGACGAACGCGCGACGATCAATGGGGAATAAACGCTCCGAGACGAGGGAGATTCTCCGTCCAAGTTTCACGCACACCTACTTAGTCGGAAGTGCGTACGCGCACGGATGTCGATTACGGAAGAGAAAGAAAAAACACACACGGCTAGAGGAGCAGCGTGCTATACTGACGCCGGTTATATTGGCCGGGATATCTAACGAGAAGCGCGCTGGGAACACTGATATTATTTTTATAACAACGCGGTGCGCGGCCGTCCTAGGCCGCGCCCAATATACCCCCACCCTCTGCTACCTTTACTCCCCTCCACAAACTGTCACTCCCTCTCCTACTCATAAGGGGAAGCCTTTACCGTTCGTCCCCACCAAACACGTAGCGTGTAACGCTCGGGGAGAAGGGTGAATAGGAAAAGGTTCTCCGCTATCCTGCGTGGGTATATCAAAGCCGGAATGATATTTTCTTCTCGTGAATGCCGCCGGAGCGTTTTCTTTTTTTTTATTCTTCCCCGATTATTGTATCGGAAGCGTTTAAACGACGAATCACCCGATATTTCTTCTTACGGATTCCTTTTCACTCGCTCAACAATCACGCGCATCTCTCGTTGTACGCCGTGATCGGTGCACACGTTGGTCGCGTAAGGAGGCGCCATCTGATGGACGCCGGCAAATACTAAAACTTGTTTTTCCATTTTCCGACATCCGTTTCTGGGATTCGTTCAACTTCAGCTTCAGGAAAGGCTGACCGTGAGATTTATACATGAGAATGATATTGACATGAGAATGACACATTATCAACCCTTAAATGCAGGACCTTTTTTAAATTAACTGAAGTAGAAGCCTTGAAGGATTCATAGGAGTTAAACAATATATTTTAGTAACATATTAATGCTTCGTCTTCCCTTCAGTTTCTATAAATTATTAGGCGATGAAAACTTACAGGTACGACTCGAAAAGTTGATTTATCAGTCGAGACGCAAGATAAAAAAAGTTAAAATCATTTCTTTCGAGGCTAAAGACTAATAAAACGAAATTCACAGAACTTATGTTTTTGTTATTCATAAATCATTTACAATGTTTTGTGCGCTTCTATTAACCACTTGGCATCAAATTTCTGTCGACATTTTCCGAAAAATTATAATTTTCAGTGGTTGTAATTACTAGCATCGACTTGTCGACGAGCTAAGAAATGTAACGCTCCAGTCCCAGGCTCGTCGACATCAAGAGCACTTCTCTGATCAACTTGTAACCCAAAAGGGGAGAATGAAAGTACTTAGCTACCAGAACTTTTCTAAAAGGACACCGCTGCACGTTATTCCGCGTGTATTTCGCTTACGATTCATTACCACCCGAGTTATAAAGCAGGGGTTGATTGTTACTTTCCGTATGTAGGGCAGATTCGTATATCTCTAAAATTTCAAAAAACTGTGATAATTTAAAGTAAATCTACTTGTAGTTACCCTTACTGAAAAATCATGTACCAACAAAAGTTATATTTCTATATTTCTGACGTTACTTATATATTTGTGAAAAATAAATTTTATTTACATTTATCTTGTTAATATTTTTATGTGTATGAAAGTTTGCATTGAATGTACGAAGGTGCCTCATACTGATTTCCTATTTTATTTGTACGCTTACAATGAATACAATATTGGTATAGAGTACCAGAAAAGTAATAAGGTTTGATGAGGAAGTTTGCAGTAGCTCCAATGTTTTCGTACAGCGTGTTCGAATTCGTGTTTTGGTAAAAATTTGGAAGCGTAAAAAAAAGGAGCGAAATCACTGAACAACAAAATGCGGATTCCCTGGTGTCCGTGGAGGCGCAGGATTGATTCCGTTACGGAGCTCTCTTTGTTCGGCCAGGTAGAAAGGAAGGATTCGCCTTTCTTTTGTGCATGCCTGCAGGTATATGGGTGCAGGTCGGCCACGGGTATTCGTGGCTTTTCTGCGCTCACGTTTCATCGTCATTATCTTTGGCAATGACGAGGGTGTTATCCTTGAACTAGATTTATCATTCACAGAATCGTGGTCGTATAGCACTTGAATTTCTGATCCGTCCAAACGCCTGCTGCAATTGTGTTTCGTTAAGCCGTCCTAAAATCGAAAGCAACCTTCTTTCAGATACAAGCCCTTTCTCGTCGAACTAACCCTCGTGAATTGTATACTTCGTTTGTTGACAAATGTAGAGTTTGTCGCTTACAGATCCACGACACACCCTTAACGAGTCAATTATCATTGTGAAAATTGATTTATTTTTTAATCAAAATGTCACTCAGTATGTCAGTAATAATTTATAATAATTCTTAAACATTACTATAATTAAATGTATTGGAAAGATTTTAATTTTTAATGTATTAATATAATATTAATTCAATGACTTAATCAAATCAGTTCTTCAATTAAATACCTACAGTACACTTTGACTGTAACTGTTCTTTCATAAAAGATTGGAATGACTCAACGATACAAAACTGAAAATGATATATTATTGCATAAAAATTTGTATAAAAAGGAAATAGTAATTTCTAATAAATAATAGTAGATTGGTCCAGCAGAGACACGATAACCTTTAAAAAAATAAAGATGTCGAACGATGATCCGTGAGAGCGTAATATTAAAGACGAGTTCTACTCCTGTGAATGGTACACCTGTGCAACTTGTGCTATGATCTCCCGGAAGAAAACAAATGATGATTACAAATCACCGAATTACGCAAAGGGGGTTAGAGGATAAAAAAAGCATGGAACCCCGCGAGGGGAGTGGTCACATAACCGAAGAGACGTTGATCCACTATAAACAAGTGGACAGCCAGTTATAATACCAGGTCGAACTTGAATGTTGAATGCGTCGTTTGGTCGCGTGGATGCACCATGAATTTTTATTATACAGAGCAACTTAACAAGTGATAGAAACAACTTTCTTCAAAACAAAGTACCTAGCTTCTCTAGGTCGTTGGTTTAAATTAAACTTCGGTGGAGTTAATCCATCAATCATACAGACATTGTATTCGGGTCTTTCTCGTATCCAGTATTGTACATACACTACCGTCCATAAGTTTATAAATAACTTTAGGAATTCAATAATCTTCGGAACAAACAGTATTCAGCATTTGTATGAAAACAAAAGCACAGAATTTACTGCGAACCTCATCGGACCTTTGTTCCTCTTGATAATCGTTAGGATAGGTTAGTGCCAGTGTTTAAAGATAATTAACAGTTACACGGCTCGTAAATATCGGCATCAATGAAGCGTGGCCAGAGTATGGCGTGGGGTAAATGGTTCCCGGACGAGTGAAAATGTTCCTTCTGTTTCAATTTCGTGAAACCCTGCTCTATGAAACCTGTTCAAGGCTCTGATTGTCTATAAAAGACACTGAAGAGCCTTGTATCACAAGGTTCGCAAAAGTATCTTTCCATCTTAGATATTAATTTTGTCGCAAACTATAAATTTTGAAATTAGAGAGTTACAAGTACCTGTAACATTACTTTGTCTGGGAAATTTGAACATTAAGAAATCTGAAAATTTGAAGATTTGAATCGGGAAATTTAGGGATAGGAATTGAAAATTTAGGAATGGCTGTCAAGTTCACACATGCCATTATGCAAAGCCTAGTACATCCGCTTTACAAGCGTTTACGATGTTCCGTTTAAAACGCGTGTATAGCAGGGGTATACCTTAAGGCAATTACCTGGTCAGTGTTGTCAACGCAATTACCAATGACAATGTCATCCACGTGATTCCATAAAATCGTAAGAGTGGGTAGTTTAATAACTGGGACGGCTATGGAAACGAACGATCCGAAACGGAGGGAACGAACGAGAGCGGCTTTTACCCCTCCAGGGTAGATCAGCCGGTGGAAGGAAAGCAAGGAGGAGCGACGTAATTCGGGACAGGAGGAAAGGGTCCTCCACAGGGAGTATAGAAGACGACGGGTGTACAGGGGTAGAGGGAGAATTTAGATGGGGACAGGAATGGTAACGGCGGACAAGAGAGAAAGAGAGACAGAGAGAGAAAGAGAGAGGGAAAGAGAAATGCGAGGGCGCGTAAGGGTGGCAGAGACCTGGAATCAATAGTGGCCACGCACCCTTGAAGAATTTTCGCACCAGCAGCCCGGATGTCTCAGGACGAGCTGGGAAAGCTTTCTCTACCGCTATCGGATCCTGGTTCGCTGTCACGAAAATCAAACCGGAACAATGGTAGTTTCATCGAGAAAGTTCACCAAGTGATATCGTTTAACTTCGGCAAGGAACATTACGTTTCGACGGCCAACGGAAAACTATGAAACTGTAAGATATGTTACGTATTTTCCCTAGGGTTACGTGGAGGGAGGGGGTAGTTGATCAGAAACTGTTACTATTAATATTACGATTTGTCTGTTGTCATATTTCAAAGGCACTGCTCGCAATATGGCAACGCGCAAGTTGCTGTTGATTACGCGCATACAGAAAATGTATAGTGATAGAAGTCTTGAAGCAAAAATATTTCACTTCAAATTGTACGAATTAGAGAAACTGCGTGTAATTGTAATAAATCTGCATTAATTCGATTAAGCATGAAATCTTTAAAAAATGTAAAAACATTGTACTTGTTAATTGAGAAGAGTCAAACACCTAAATTCTCACTGTATTTAGAAATTGCTAACAAAAATTTGTTAAACCTGTATTGGTTTAAAATAACGCGAATAAGTATGTATACTTTCGCGAAAATTGATAATTTATGAAGAATTATTGTTTGTTTTATGAAAAGAGCAAAACTATGATCAACCACTCCATCTTGCTCCTGTTAGATGTAGTAATAAGTGCTTTACTACTTTTTTCAACGAGATGAAAAATTACAGTTGAAAATATTCGCTACAGTTTGTAGCTGTATTTAAAACACAGTTAATTTAAAAGCTTAATAATCACACACCTTTATAAAGAATAAGTTACGCTGTAACTGTCTGTAGGTTATGTTACACTGTATTAGTATAAAACTTGAAGTTACAAAGATAGATTCCGAAGATGATAATTTGTGAATTCTCAATGATATAATAAAAAAATTTTATTAATTCAGAATCTTGTTAAATTTCCGCACAAATTTTTTAATTCGAAATCTCCATGAATCTTCGTCATCGCGTACATAGTTGCCCGTTAGCCTTTCAACGGGCACTTGATCTGCCCAGTGCTGCTATAAATCAGCGTGCAAAGTAGAAAGGATAGGAAAAATGGCTCACCTCCAGCCACCGCCAACTTGGCCAAGGGATGATTCTGGTAGGGCGTCGCCGCTACCCCTGAAACAAGGAAACGGGAAGTTGTAGGACATAAAAGGATGCA